TCACTAGCTGCTCCTTGGAAACCCTATACAGGGTTGCCATGGGTTGGAATCAACTCGACAGCACTTAACAACAACATATATATATATATACATACACATGCACATATTATATGTGTGTGTGCATATAGTTATTCATTTTGGTAAAATACGGTGGAAAAGTCAGATAACATAATTACTTTCACAATTTATTTATAGATACTGGGTGAGAAGCTTACTGTAGACGCAGTCACCAGGAAAAACTACCTGTAGTGCTTTCAATAGTTGAATATTTGTATCTGTTCTCATGCCAGCAGTGTCTACTGTGCACTGTGTCCTATTACTGTAAATCACCGGGTTTATAGTTCCAATGGAAGCTAATTTGTTTTATAGTGAAATTCAGAGCAAATATGCATTATCTGATCAGGATTGTCCTAGAGTTGTAAATAAGGATAGGTCCTGTTTATTTTGACATCTTTTTACAAATGCATTGTAGTAGGGTGTGAGTATTCCAAACCATGCTCTTGTTTAAAGCTTTGAAATTTGTATTGTTAAATTTAACATTTTAATGGTTGTAATAATTATGTGTATAGATATGAATATATACTTTAGTTATGAAAATAAACTTTGCACTTTTGCATTGAGAAAAAACAATAAAGCTACTTTATAAACATGCATATAGAGATTTTTGGGTGAAAAAGATTTCATCATGTTTAAATACTTCATTTTATGTCTTAACAATTTCTTTTTTAAGTTTTCATTTCTTTAGGGTTAATGCCTAGGACTAGTGTTGATGAGTCATGTGGTGATTCTATATGTAACCTGATATGAAGCTGCCACGCTGTTTTCCAGAGTGGCTGCATCTTTTTTTCATATCCCATTACTAGGGTATGAAAATTCCATTTCCTGTATATTCTCATATTTGATATTGTCAAGATGGGGTCTGTGCTTCATTTTAATCATTTTAATTTGTGTGTGGTTATATCTCATTGTGGCTTAATTTGTACTTCCCTAATGAATGATGGTAGCATAGTGGTTATGAATTGTGCTGCTAATCTCACAGTCAGCAGTTCAAAACTACCAGCTGTTCCACAGGAGAAAGATGAGGCTTTCTGCTCCCATTAAGATTTAGAGCCTCAAAAACCCTGTACAGGATCGCTATGAGTCGGAACCAACTCCATGGCACATAACAACAACAACAAGTGAATGATGTTGAACATGTGCTTATTTACCATCCACTGCTTTAGTGAAGTGCCTGTTCAAATCCTTTATATAGTTTTAAAATTGGATTGTTTTCTTATTGTTGAATATTAAGAATTTAAAAAATATTCTAGGTCGTTTTTTGTCAGACATGTCATTTGCAAATATGTTTATGTCTTGTTTGTTTTTTTTTTCCTTTCTTAACAATACCTTTCACAATACAATGATCTTTGATTTTGATGAAGTTCAAGTTTTCTTTAATAGATTGTTTTAATAGGCTGTCAGATCAAGAACATTTGTCTAATCCAAGGGCACAAAGGTTTTCTCTTAGACGTTATATTGTTTTACAATATACATTTAGATGTCTGATCTATTTTGCATTAACAAATTATTCTAGTCCCATTTGTTCAAAAGACTGTTCCTTAAAATTCTCCAGGATTTCTCATAAATGATGATATTGCAGTGATTATCTCCAAATCCTCTAGAAATCAGCTGTTTTAGATGAAAGAATGGGAGACTCTGAGGAATACCATGAGAGATATGAAAACAGAGTATCTTGTTTCCCAATAAAACTTCTTTATATCCTCAGATTCCAGAAAGTTCTATTTTCTAGTAACTCTCAATGCTCACATCCTTTTTTCATATGAACTAACTTGAACTTGAAGGAGCTCTGGTAGCGTAGAGGTTACGAATCAGGCTGCAAGCCACAAGGTCAGCAGTTCAAAACTACCAGCTGTTCCGTGAGAGAAAGATGAGGCTTTCTGCTCCCATAAAGATTTCCAGCCTTGGAAACCCTGTACAGGGTTGCTATGCATAGGAACCAACTCCACGGCACATAACAACAACAACAACTTGAATAGGTTTCAAATATATGAAAACAAGAACAACCTCATACCTTTCACGTGTTTGTATTTGCTCATCTCTTCTTGCAATGAGTCCAATGGAAAAGGGCAGAGTTCCTCTATCCGGATGATGGCAAAGTCATGATTCTTGGCCCCCAAAGATTCTCTTTGCTTCAGTAAGGCATAGAAATGTTTGCCACAACAAAACACTAGTCTCTTAACACTGTCGGGTATAAAAGGGGCAATGGAATGGGAGAGAAATATCTTAAATTAAGACATATCCTTAGTGTTCAATTGTAATGAAAATATTTATCCTGTATAATCAATATAGGTGTGTTGGTATGGCTGCTATAGGATAAGCACTGAACCACAAGGTTTTTTGAAGTGCAAGACCAGCAGTTCAAGCTCACCAGCATCTTTTTGGAAACCCTATACAGGGTTGTTATGAGTAAGAACTGACTCAATGACATTTACCCACATAATTAAAATGTCCTTTTATCCAAAGAAAGGGAGACAATGCAGTTTTAAATCCTTCACCAGTAAAGCAATGGGATGCTGTGCAGTAGAATTGAGTCATATGTTATGCTCTAACAATCCTTCTTTAGCTCCAAATGCCATCAAAGTTGACTCTTTGATGCATAGCCTAACTCTTACTCTACCAACTTAAAGAACTTATATCAGAATAGAAAAGATTTTGGTCACTTTGGATTCTTGAACATGAACTAGTGTTTACATTAATTAAAAATCTACTGTATAGATAGTACTCATTCAAGCTAGCTTTGGTGGCTTGATGATTGGAAATCGACTAGAGGAAGATTAAAAACATTTTTTTTTTCTTAATGAAGGAAACAAGTATAAATTGCTACAATTGGATGAACTTGACCTATACTTATGGATGTAGAAACTCAAAATACCAACTGAGAGGGAAGAAGTCTTCACATCAAGGATCAATCCTATTCCCCTCTACATACAGGGTTGACAGAGACAGGCAACTTAGACATTGGCTACCTAATTGGGGGAGGGAGGATGGCTATAAAGGCATGAAATGACTGGCTTACAAGTTTCCAAAAGGGAGTTTAGTTTCACAGTGTGCGGGTAAAGGTAGACTCCCCACTGAATAGTTTTCATCTTGTTTAGATGGCCCTGGTGAAAGTAGATGGGAATAAGATTCTTAAGATTCAACAGTG